ACCAACTATCATCTGCAGGAGTCTCCTAACTGAAAAATGAGAATAATAATATCTCCTTTCTCAGAAAAAGGACTAATGGCAGCACTGCTCCTCACTCAGAATGTAAAACTAAACATCCAAAAGCATGAACCCTGTTTCTCTCTTGTCTGACAAGTTCCTCTCCAGTCAGGAAATGTCAGTATGACAATGACCAATCTAGGTGTCCATTCCTAACCATGTGGATACCTAGTTGCCATCATTTTGTCACTTGCCCCTCCTCTGTGGTGCAGCACACTAGGCCCTCAACAGCCTGTCTTGCTTTGCTACTACATTTACCACGTTCATCTGTAGGCTCTGTTAATCTACCAGAAGGATTCACATGATAAGAGTACAGAATATTCTCATATGCCCATGACTTTTGGAAACTTCTTCCATTCTTTATTGTATTACCATTGCCCAACCCACTGCACCGGAACCTGTTTTTTTAGCCCTTAGACCCATTTTCTGAAAATATCACTTTTGACACTGAAAATCTGCTCTTCAACATGTACAGTGAAAACAGACACCAAAAATTAATTCAGTTTTCTCTATGAGCGCATTTTCTACTAATTCTGTACTCAGTTTAATTCCTCTAGTGTAATTGACTGTTCACCGCTCTAGATAGATGTTTTAACATTATAATTAGCAATATGAATTTCTATAGCTTTGCATCCTGTTATTTTGCATTTCTCTAGTGCAAATCTGTGAACCTCATTTGGCAATACTTCCATTTCCTTAAGTAGCCTTCTTTTCTCAATTAGTTCTCCTCAGTACTGATGGTTAACTTGTGAACCTCTTAGACTTTATAACACTTTCCTGACCTATGCCATTCCTTCTATCCAAGTTTTTTTTTATTGTGATCTTCTAGAAACAACCCTATTGACTTTCCCTTTTCAAATTCCTTCTTACAAGTCACCATCATTTTTGAAAAGTGCTATTTTTAAGTCAAATATGACTATGCTAAGCTTCTGCGGCAATGTTAAATATAAATTAAATCTTATAGCACTGTGCTTAACTTTCTAATCATTTAACCAACACATTACATCCTGGGCATTGCTTGGTATTCAGTCCACCATTGCTTCCCTTCTGGATGGTTCCATGACTGACTGTTCTAGGGCATAGTCACTTAAAATATCTAAAAAAATTAAACCTCTTTGTCATGACAGTTTCTGTAATGTTAATTGAAATCACATATCACTACAATAATTTCCTCTTTGGAAGCCTCCCTCATTGCCATATCCATTTCAAAATCACTCATTTCACCCTGAGGAAGTAAACAATGCATCAACAAGTAAACAGAGGACATAAAAATTAGCCTTATACTAAAGATATAGAATTAAAGATTGCAGAAAGATTATTAGGTTTGTTAAAGTATGTGGTAAAGATGGTAAACGAAATCACTAGGCAATTTTTTCCATCAAGATTGAGGTTTCATTTCCTGTTAAGAACTCCTACACAATAAATAAAGAAAAACAGAAAGCATGAGAGACATGAATTTCCTTCCATAAATGGAGGGATACAGATATCCCTCTAACAAAACATGATTCCTACCAACCACTCTGATTCTGCAATTTGCTTCTCATCTGAGTCCAACATGATTATAGCCTCACAAACAAGAACCACTGGCATGAAACAACAATTAAAAAAATGCTACATCACAGATTTAAATGTTTCCCATACTGGTGAAGTGAGTGAACTAGATCACAAAGGAGACAGAAAAGTAGGAATCAACACAAAGGGAAGATCTCAAGGCCACAATAAGGATTGTGGAGTCAGAGAAGCAGGTGAGTCAGTCTATGAATCCAAAAGAAAGCTTCTTGCTTCCTCTGCTTTCTTAGCTTTTGAAAATCTCCACATATCCTATGAATTTTGATTATTCTCTATTATACATTACTATATTTTATATATACACTGTAACTAAGAACTAAAATTGTATAGACGCAACCTGATCTGCTTCAGAGGCTTGATTCAAGGTTGATCACAGGCAGGAAAGAGAGCTGTATTTAAAAGAATTGAGCCTTGTTCTCCTGTAATCTAACATAGAAAAAGAGAGACTGTAAATTTTTGTTTTCCAACAGAATGGGATGAAATTGGTAGACACCCCATATAGCTTTATGTGGGAATAAAATGTGGCTCATTTAGTTAGAGAGACTTAATTTTGGTCAGTAACAAGCATAAAGAATAAAGAAAAAAATAAAGAGTACAATAAAATCAAGTGTACAAATATGGCTGAGTAGACAGAATAAAATAAGTGATACAGCAGTACACTATTAGAGCTAAAATTATTCAATAAAATTTGTATCTAAACCTAAAAGGGGAAGTAAATATTCAACTTATAATAAAGTAATTTGACAACATACATAAATCATCCTATACAATTTAATCAGGGGTAGTAATCATAGAAGTAACTGAAAAGAATGATTAAAACACAAATAGAAAATAATTACTGAAAGTAAGCCTGAGACCAACTGTTTATGCACATTTACTGCTGTTATACAAAACTTCGCTATGTTATAAGTAATAAGTCTTTTCTTATCTAACTGAAGTCAACATAAAATTCCTCAGGTCAACCCAGAGCATATGACAACAGAGGAAAAGTTACTCTTCTTTGGCTATCATTATAAAATGAACAGTGTAAGTCCATGTGAAGGATGAATTTAATTGAACCCTCACCACAAGGGCAAGTTCAACTATCTATAGGAACCTTACTAAATTTCCCATTTAAAAGTGCTGGGGGAAAGCTATTGAATCTGGCTGTAAAAAGAACCTTAATTGTAATTATTGATATAATTAGCTGGTTTCCATCTGGTATGGTTAAACTGGGTTGAGGTAGAACTAGGAATAAGACCTCTATCATTGTGATTACTGTATCAGTGTCCAGGAGCCATTCTCTAATGTCCCTCTTAACCTGAGTAAATTCAAGAAACTGTTAAGTACTCAAAAGAAAGGCCACAGGAATAAAGTTTTGGTTTTTTTTTAGAATTACTTAAAACCATGAAGATTGAAATTTATCAGATAGGAGAGGCAGAATCAGTCCAGCTAGGAAACAGTGGCACTTGAGACAATAATTAATAATTAATAGCCAAACTCTTAACTCAACCCTCTTTTGGCCAGTCTCAAACTTCAAGATAACATTGGGTATGCATTTTGGGGTGTGAAACAGTGCTCTGATAAACTTAGTTTGCACCACTTCCATCAACCCATAACTTAGGTAGGGCCACAGCTGGAACTGTAAAGCAGAGAGCCAGAGATTTAGCTGTGAGTAGTTTTAAAGCTCACAGTGGGGATACATTCCCTACCTTTAGTGTGGGGAAAAAAAAAAATTAGAATGGCTGAAAATCTTCTTCAAGCCTGCAAGACCATAGAGTCAATATGTGCACATATCATACCTAAGTATTTAAAAGCCCTTACCTGCTCCATCTCTTTGACCTTCTACTACACATCACATGAATGTTTTAGTGAACAGCAATATTTTGGCCTTCTGGTAGTTTATTGCAAGCTGGTATTCCCTACAGTGGCATGCTAAGGTGTTAAGAGTGTGCCTAAGGCCAGTTGGCATTCTAGAAATAATGGCTGCATTGTCTGCATAAAGGATTGCAGAATATTCATGTTTCTGCAGTTCTGGGGGGATGAAAGCTTGTGTCTAAAAGTTCCTTAGCCAATGAGTTTTTGTATAGATTAAATAGGGAAGGGGCAAGGATACAACCCTGCATAACTCTCCTATGTACAGGAATTGGCTTTGATAGAAGGTCCTGTGGGACACAACATATTCCAATCCTGGAATCATTCAACAACCTTTGGATTAGAAACAGTATTCTCGAGTCAACACCAAGACCTTTGAGTTTCACCCATAGGAGAGGCCTTGAAATCAAATCAAATTCTAATTTAAAGTCAGCAAAGGCCACATCAAGGGAGGCTCTGGATCTTTCACTATATTGTGGTTCATGTAATAGTAATCAGTGTGGAGCTTTTCAAGCTGCATTCTTTAAAATCTGGGTTTTTAAGGTGCCTGTAATTTTGTTGCTTCAGGGCAGAATGTGATGAAATTCACAGCAATAATATTCTGTGGGAATACAGTGGGAAACATCTATGCTAATTTTTTGCAAAGGGAAAGGGAAAGACTTGTCTCCCTGTCACTGTAGGACTGAAAATCTTTTCTAAATTACTTCATTCTATCTCAAGACCCAGGATTTCACTGGATCTCCCCACTAACTTTGCCCCCTCTCCCCAACAAACTTTGCAAATTCTCAGGGGGGAGAAGTTTCAAGAAACCGATTGACAGTACAATGTCTGTGATGTGGCAATTACCAACATAGCCAGAAGATAAACTCTATGGAAAGTGTGAGTTAGATGGAGGATGTGAAAGCTGACAAATAAAAAGGAACCAAAGGGGAAGAACATAGAATAAAAAGGGTTTTGAAGGAAAGGACAGAAAGCTAGGGAACCAAATATAACAGGCTTGTCATGTTTATACAGTAGGACAGCTGATACACATTTAAGAATAAAGTATGACATTCTTCAAAAAAAAAAAAGGCTTCTGCTATAATCATAACCTTTTGACTCGTAAGTCCTAAAGTTGTACTTGTGACAAAGAGATGCAGGAAGGGGAAATTACAGAAATAAACATATTGATTTAAACTTCTGATTTAATGTATGAAATGAACATGCAGAGGATATTTGCATACTATAGTTCCATTCTGATTGTTGCTTTTTAAAAAATGCAGCAAAAGGATATAATGTATGAGAATGCACATCCTTGGCATATCTGACATATAAGTATTTTTCAGTGAAACCTCCATAATAATCTTCCCTTGGTACAGAAATATTCACTGTGTTAATAGTCTGCTGTAGGCACCATCTTCCAGTAACCGTGTTTTGATCACTCATAGCGGTCAACAATGAACAGCCATGTTTAAAAAAGAAAATACCGAGGTTAAAGAACAACAGCAAGAGAAATACACTTCTCAGCTCCTGCTTTTTACCTTGGCTCTGCATACTGCTATGTTTGCTGGGAGCTGGGAAAATTGTTGTAGTTCAAAAACATCTCGCGCTGCCCAATGACTCATCTGATTTTCAGCCTTGCTTGAGCCAACCACATCTTGATTTGAATGAACATATGGAACTTCAGCAACATTATCTAATAATTAAAACAGAATACAGAGGGTATAGGTTTAAGATTGCAGTATGATTGATATATAGATGCTCAATAAAAATTAAGTTGCTCACAAAATTCTAAGATTAATTTTAATTACTATTCATTTAGAAATGCTAAAGATCCTAGAAAGCTGAAGGTACATTTTAATCTATAAATTTAAATATTTAGCAATTTGAAAAAATATCAATTTTTATCTTTCATTAGTAAAGATAAAGGTTTTATTTCCCTTGTAATAAGCTTGACTTCTAACGACTGCATGGATATGATCATGCTGTTTTTATGGGAACAATAGAGAAGTGTCTTCTTCCATGTTTTTGTTTTTAAATTTCTCACTCTAGTCTATATAACCCAGGGATTTCTAGGTGGTGTCTCCAACCTTGTCCAACTTGCTTAGCTTTTTTAAAAAGTGAACTAGATACTGCCATCTGCTCCAACATTAATTATAATCATTATTAAATATTATCTTTTAATCATTATTAATCAGGCTGATGCACAACACAATACAAATACAAGATTAGTGAAAACATTTAAAATTCTTGTTATACACAATTGTGAAAGATACACAATTTTAACATAGCCAGAACCCATATTACTGTTTCTGCTTGATCAGTTTCGATGATTATAGAAAAGTACTAACAACAAAAGTACTATGCAGTCCATCGACTCCAACCCCAACCTATATTCAAATTAAATATTCTAGCAGAATATTATTAATTACATTTATTAGCCACTGAATCTGTACGGACTCTTGACAACTTACAAAAAAGATACAGAAGAAGCATTATAGAATAAAGAACAAATTAAATTAGCCAAACCAGACTATAACCAAAGGCCCAAAGGCCCTCTTGAAGAGCTATATTTTGAGCAGCTTCTGGAAGGGAGTCTGGGTGAGAGCCAATCAGATGCTAGTGAGAGGTCATTCCAAAGGACCAGCATAGTCATTGAAAAGCAGCACCACCAAGCCTCTGCCTCCCTCACTTTCCTAAAGTGAAAGAATATTTAAATCAGTGTTTCTCAACCTTGACAACTTTAAGACCTCTGGACTTCAACTCCCAGAAATCCCCAGCAAGGCTGGCTGGAGAATACTGGGAGTTGAAGTCCACAGGTCTTAAAGTTGCCAAGGTTGAGAAACACTGATTTAAAGAGTAACATCAGAATTAAAAAGACTAAGGAACAGAAGAAAAATTCAGTTGAACAAAAGTAGGTTTAGACTAATTCAGGCAGACTGTAAAGCTGCCTCAAATGGTCCACTTATGTTAAGCCTTAATGTTAATTTTACTCATAAATAATACTTGACTTGTTAATATCAAATACTTGAGATCATCAACAATGCTTGGTTTTGTTGTAAAAATTATTAGACAAAACAATCCATTATGTTTTTGTCTACAAAGTAATTGTTTCTAAACCTGCCACAAGATAAATCCACAATTTGCAGTATTAATTAAAATCCCAAGCATATTTCTCCCTTCAGTGTCAATAAAGGACCTCCTGGCTGTATCACATCCTGTGAATATTCATTTAAAGTTAGCCAGGAAGAAGCTATTTTCTGTTGTGGAGCATCTTCTTAAAGATAAGGCATGCCCCAACTTTATTGTAACAAGTGGTATCAAATGCCAAAATAAAATGTGTACTCACCTTAGCCTTTGATGTCAAATGTGCCACTGGTTTAATAGAAGTGATACAGACTAATATACAATTAGTTCATAAGAACATCACTGGATATGTTTTGCTGAATTTTAACTTTGTATAAAAGGTATAATGCTGGACCTCATGAATGGCATAATGAGCAGTATGTAAACATTTAAAATAAATATTTCACGTTTAATGCATTGCAGATTCCTAGATGATCTCTTCCAATAGGTTCATGTAAAAGTTAAGTAACATTGGAAGCAAGATCAAACCCGGAAGAAGGATTTGTATCAATGACCAATGGTTCATCATTGCCTTCGGTAACTGCTCCCTCAAGAATGGAACCATGCAGAGCTGATCCCTCCCAAATAACACAAGACACTATATTGATGACATTGAGTGTCTTAGATTTTAAGCATATAACAGAGATGTAATCCCTGCCTAGGAAGAGTTTATCATCTCAGTCTTAAGGAAAAAGTCTAAGGAAGAACTGAAGATGTAATGTAAGAGATCAACAGCAGAAAATATGAAAATACTAAAAGCTTTTTGTGTTTAATTTATGGTTATTACTCTTTCTAGAAAAAAATCTTTTGTGAAATAAATATAATTACCAAAAAGTCCATCCAGTGATCCTATTTTTTCTCCTTGGCCTGAGGATGACTCTTTTCTGACAGAAGACTGGTATCTGCTGGAATTACTATGTGTTCTCAGTGTCATAGTAGGATAATTGAGGTATGGTGAGAATCTGGACTTAATTTGAATTCCACACCTATCACCCTTTAGCATTAGTTTTTTTTTATTAGCATTAACCGTCTTCACTGGAAAGCTTTCTTCTTCTTCTGAATATTCTTCTATAATCTGAGAATCAGCATTGCTTTTTCCCTTGCTTGAACTGCTTTTATGAACAACAGTTTTGGAAGACTTATTTCCTTCCTTGTTCTGGAATTGTTTTTGTTCTGCAGTACTGGTGAATTTCTGCTTACCTGAATTGGACATCACAATATCATCAGATTCATCACTAACGTCACTTACTTCTGTCATAGTTGTTATCTTTCGGATGTTTTCAAATGGTTTCATTTTACTGAAAGGTAGAACACTTGTATAAAACTGTTTGGAAGTCAAATGTTTTTGCAATGGTGTAAGCAAAAGCTTTTTTTCTGCAGCTAAAACTTCACCGTTTCTGGCTGTCTCTTTAAAACTTTTAATAGATTCCTGACCATTAGGGACTTGGGAAGGAAAGATAATATCATTTTCAGTTGAGTTGTCTTCAATGTCCATAACTATCCCAACTTTATTTGAATTATATGTGTTTTTACATTGATCCTTTTCTTCCTCAGAGCATGGTAAAACGGGATAACCACTATTTGCTATTTCACCATGCTTCTCTTGTCTCTCAGTTCTCATTTTTGACAACAAGGTTTTCTTACATCCTGAATTATACTGGTCCTCAATTTTCACAGAACCATCATTCTGGGACTTTCCTTTGGATTGCTGTCTCATAGATTTGTGATCAGCATTTTCATGAATAGACATACCAGTGTGATCGCCACCTTCAGCGGTTCTAGTTTTCTTTTCTAGAAGTTTAGGAAATCCACACTGCAGTAAACTGAGTTGTTCCTGTGGAACTTTAGTATGTTTTGCTTTGTAATTTCTGTTTCTTACTGCTTGCACCTTAGAATTTCTCTCATGCTCCTCATCACTGAAGTCACTGTAACAATCAAGTCCTTCCTTTTCTAATGGTTTTGTATCTTGATCTTCATAATCACACTCTGTCTCCTGTATGAAAGAAGCCACTAATTTTAAAATGTTTTTGAAATATCACTCTTAATATTCAGTCTTTAAAAACTACATCACTGTCTTAAAAATAATTGTCACTGTTTAAAAGCATATCATAATTTTAATATAAGGTGGGATATACACTGACAATCAGCAGAGCTCTGCTGTTGGGTTAGTTTTACACATCAGTGATGAAAAGGGATTATTTTTCTAATTTCTCCTTTCACTTGCTGCTCCCTGAAAAAATACCTTCAAGAGTGGAGAGATACAGTGAAACGTATTGGTAGCTTCACAGAAAAGAGATAGTATCAAAGATAGACTTCTCACATTTCCTTTGGCAGGGCGTTCTTGTATTCATGGGGTACATCTGCATCCAGCCTGTACTTATATTAAGCAGGTATGGACTGCTGCAGAAAACAAATCCTTAGAAACTATTCAAATTTTTGAGATGACAGTATAACAACAAAAAAACTATCTGTTATTTGCTAACTAAGGAGAAAATCATCACAGCTTCTACTATCTAATCTTTCAAGGTTTGTTTTCTTTTCTTTTTTGTTTTTGTGCTAAACAGTTATCCAAACCAAAGATATCTAGATTGGCATTTCTAGCCCAATAAGGAAGCAAATCCTATTCCATTCAACAAGCCTTGTTTTAATAACATACAGTATTAGAAGTTTAATTTAATTAGTTTTAAGAAAATACATTGCAGAAATAGTGGAATATACAGTATAAACTATTTTTTAATGCACTCATTTGACTGATCTCCACATTCTTTATTTTATGGTATACTTTGATGGTATAGTTGCTACATATATTTATCATGCCTTGTTTATGAGCTGTACTAGGCTTCCTTTTAGAATGAAGCTTTTTAAAATAACAAAATATAAATAATGAATTACTTCAGATAAACTTTGCATAGATAAACTTTGCAAATGTTCTCATGGTATAGCTCTTGAAAGTTGTTGTTATTTCCTAATAAGAATCCTACATCAGATCCTATATATTTCAAGGAACCACTTCTATAACTTGCTACCAATATATTATCATGAATTCTCAGTTCTATTGCTAGACTGAATATTCTGAATTCTGAATTTTAGTGGTAAGGGAAAATGATCTCCTTCAAGCACAATAATGATTTTAAGAGAGTGAAAGACAAAATAAAAAAAAAACAAATGTACAATCTATTACACTAGCCCCATAGCTACATCATAATATACCACTTGTTATTTAATTTTAAAAAAACCTCTTAATTGGTTGCACATTATTATTTTGTTATGAGATATCCCTGTATTATTTAGTGCTACTTAAGCTATATTTGGCAGTGCCATGTAACACTAATCATATCTATTCAGCTCTATATTTTCATGGGCCAGACTCAAAAGCTGTCAAATGAACTAGAAATTAAATTTTGTATATTATAATGCAAGCAGAATGTATTGACATTCAGAATATCACATTCTGGTCTCACATTCCTAATACTTGCTTTCTGATTCCTTCTGTTTTCTTCAGATTTTATTCCTAAGAAGGAAATGTTATAAATCACATTTACGAAAACATTACACAATATGTTTCATGACATTATTATTTACTATTTCTACCTCATGAGGCCGGGATCCCTCTTTCAACCATGTAGCAGCTGTCATGACACCGGCTTCTACTTGGCCTTCCCTCTATAAAAAAGCAAAGCAATTTTATAGTAAGTCAGTCCCTGAGTTGGTCTACAAATTCTATGTATGTCATTGCATTGTATGCAAACAGTATAAACATTCTGAATTCTAATTCCTAATAAGAAATTTGACATCAAGGGATAGGAATAGAGAATATCAGTTGCCATATTTACTAAGATCTGAAAAGACCCACTGCCAAAGTACCAGGCTCAGTATAAGGGAGCTTCCTAAGTTTCCCAACCTCCTCCACATAAATCCCCACAGTCTTAAGGAATATAGAAGTTTGAAAGAAAAAAAACAGAGGGGATATGTAATGGACTGTCCCAGAAGAGAGGCTGATTGGCTGGCTGACATCCTGAGCAAGAAAATAAATAAATAAACCAATTAACCAGTATAAATATTAAGGAAAGAACTATGTATCCACATTTCCTGGTAGGGTAAATCTGTACACAGCTAAAATTAAGTGAATGGAAAAATACTATTTTAATAAATTGGACTACTTTCACCAAATGAGAATCTGTCATTTTATTATGGTGGACCTTTTTTTGTATTTTCTAATGAATATTATTCACCAACATGATAAGAAATAGGGAGGATAAATCGAAATATTCAAAAAGCCCAAATAAAAGCACAGCACCTCTAGAATCTCTTTTGTAAGACAGGATCCATGGTCTTGAAACCTGAAAAGATTATGAATTCCAAAAAGTTCTCCTTGATGCTCTTTGGATCCTTGAACCGCCTTGAAATATCGCTTGGCATTTTTACTTCCAATCACTACACAATGCAGTTGCTAAAACAGAACAACACACACATTTCAAAAGCATGTTCCTGCAGCAACATAGCAGAATTTCCAAACATTTACAATACAGAAACAGATTCATTCAAAGCAAGCAGAATATCCTACAAGGAAATAATACTAAGTTTTATTTTCCTTGGCAGATGCTGTTATTGTTCTATCACATTAACTTACCAGACAGGACAGGACAGGACAGGGAAAATATGTCATGATGTTTCCCATTATTTTGCATAACATGAAATTAATAACTCTATTAAAAACCTGTTGCAAGGACACCTCATCATCATCCTTACAATATTTTAATAGAATGGCAAATGATTTTAACATTTTAGACAAAGCTCACCTGCTTACTGACAATCCTTAACTATCAAGTAAATATTATTTAAGCTAGATCACATAAAAGCCGTGTAATTGGTCACAGACAATGTACTGATCATCTAGGTTTTCCTTTGACTGGAGCAACAGCCTACTTCCTCCTAATCACTATGGTTCTGATCCAAGGTGGTCTGTGGGAGAACGGCTTTGGAAAGGGAGCATGAGAAGCAGATGAATCATACATTGCCTGCCTCTGACGTAAGATGGCAAAGACAGCACCCCTATCTATACATTTTATTGAAGCCCAACCTTAACAATTACAGCCAAAATATACTGTATAAATATAGAAATATTTAGATTGGTAGTGAGCCAAAATGTATGTAGCACAGCATAATCTTATCCAATAAAATGTATAATCTTAACACAAGCTAAAAACTTTTGAAGGTTCCAAATTATTCTGCTTCCACTTCATGTAAAGCGGGAGCACTGAGAGCTACTTAAAAGCTTTATATTTCACAAATTTGGATATTGTGTAGATTCTGGATATATGAACTTCTATGACAGTGATCTTCTTTCCCAGTACTGAGTCCCAGTGAACACAATAGCACTCATTTCCATGGTTAGTGTAATATGGTTAGTATTCTCGAGTTTTCATTTCTGTGCCTTCCACTGGAAACTATCCATAGCAGCCTGTTGCTCTCCAGCTGTGTTGGATCATACTACTTGGGGATGATGAGAGTTGAAATCCAGCATAGCTGGAGGATATCAGAAGTCTGATTTAAAAGGATCAAAACTCAGCCTGCATGAATATATCAAGTTTATGGTTGAGACATGGAATTTTAGGATGCCAACTGAGGAGCAGAAAAGGAACTGGAAGACAGAAGAGAAAGAGAAGGAACTGAAGATGTTAAAGCCTTAATTGTTAACAGTAAATATCTTAGGTGAGAGATGTCTGCAGTGAGATCACGTAATCCCTACCTGCACTTTACAAGAATGTTTCAGAAGCAAAATAACTTCTTCCTCTCTACTTTGTGCTACAGACCAATGAAATACTCAAGATATGCACTGATTGTGCACTATAAAGCACAGCAGGAAAAACCCCTTAGACATATGGCAAAAAAAGTGTCCTTTCCACTTGCTCCTTCCTGCAATTATATGTTATAAATTAAATAGCCCACAGAGATATACTTCAGGATTTGATAACGTAGAGGCAATCTGTCAAGCTGTCTATCGTAACTCTTGACATAAGTCAAATACATGGACCACATCTGATAATCAGACTTGGGCTGGTGTGTTTCCTTCTTCCTCCTCTGTTGCACTCTAAATCCTTGTTGGCTTCAATTTGGTTTTGCATAAGAAAAGCAGTTTGATTAATACTGTGCAATATTCAGATTCAAAGTCGACACTTTTTTTTGCCTGTTGGCTGCCCCTTACAGAAACTGCATCTTTTCCTGGGTTTGCAAGGTAGCCCTGGGGGCTCAAGAGAAAACACATCTGAGCTAAGAAGGCATTAAGGATGCTTATATAGTATGGTGACATATGATAGGAAGACTATCAAGTTTCTTAAATTCACACAAAAGCCTGAGTACTTCACCTATGGCTGGAAAGAGTTTGGAGATTAACAGTCTTTGTATTTTCAGTACTGGGGTAGAAGAAGGTGGAGAAAGGGATGGGACAGCCATCATTCTTTGTCCATGAATCCCAATGAAAACAGTGCCAACATCTCCCACTGACTGCATTCACAGTCTACAATCTTCTGCCTGAAAGTCCCTTTAAACTGCAGGCCTCAGTGCTTGAACATTCCCTGAGATTTCTAACTCTTGCCTGCTGAAGAATTGTTGAGAGCTTAAAAGTTTGCATACCCTCTTGTGCCACTTTGGCTATCCTAACAAATATGCTGCTGTAACTGTGGATGTAATCATAAAATAAAATTTGATTTTTTTATTAAAAGCATTTGGATAAATGGCAGAGTTTGCATACTTTGCAGGAATGCTTAATTTTATGAATGAGAATTAAATGAATTCAAAAGCTCTAAAACCAAGCTAAAGATTATTGAGTTGTATTTGGTTGACTTCCCCTCCTTAATAAACAGGCCAAGACATAGCAATACATTAAGAAAGCAATATGATTACAAACATAATGAAAACTTTACCTGTTTGTAAACCTGTCGTAAGTACATCATCTCTTCCACAGTCCCCAAAGAAATTAGCCGAAATACTTTCACATCCCTACGCTGGCCAATTCTGTATACTCTGCAAAACCATTATTTCCAGAGTCAAAATAAAGAAGAATCTCATAACCATTAAAATAAAACTTTTTTAAACCATTAGAATGTACCTGTCAATGGCTTGAAGATCATTAGCTGGATTCCATGTTGGATCGAACAATATAACAATATTAGCACCAACAAAATTAAGACCCAATCCACCAGCCCTTTATAATAAGCAGAAGAAATACAGAGGGTAAGAAACAAATAAAGGAGTACAAAACAATTTATACATACAGTAGTTCTATTATAAAGATTTTTTTCTTTACCAACTAGTGACAGATTCTCAATTATCAGGTGGCTATTAAAGTATGGCTACAAAACAAAAATCAAACAAATATACAATGTAGATCCAGATCTTCATTATAGACAAACTTACTGCAGTTTCTTAGCCGATCAAGATTTTTCTAAAACCATTTGAGTGCACTAGAGGTGATGCCTAATCACTTCCCATAATTCACATCCTGGTGATGGGAAAATCATAGCTGTATTTATAGTAGCATCATAACTTTAAGGTATATAGCTGCCCAACAACATAAGGTTTTCATTCTTTACCAACTTACAGGGAGAAAAATTAACATTTATATTATATATATTGCTCTATTTAAAGAAAAAGTATTCTGCCATTTGAAAGAAAGAGACATCATCCATGTGCATTTCAGTTTCCAATAAAAACTCAAGAGACAAAGTTATCTAAATGCTCTTAATGTCATGCTTCTACTTTTCATGCAACACTTCCTTTCCACCATTTTTTAAATTAGGTGAAAATAGAACACATTAGCAATTATGATGCACTTTTATATTAAACTACTTAGCAAGGACACAGGGAAGGTGTTGGGATGGGTGGCAGTGATGCACTTTTAAGAAGGGGCGGGGTTTTTATCATCTGGTTCATAGCATCTTCTTGAGTTTTTTTATATATATACACACCCCACAGATATCCCTGCAACTAAGCTTATTCCATGTTGACAAGTCTTACTGACACATTTAGATGGCTTTACAGTCTTTAGTGCAGAGACTGAAAATCAAATTGCATGTGTCAATGTACCATTACTGTGTGATAAGTTTTCCTGTTTTAAAATCACAGCAGTGTACGGAGTCCTTTTTCTTTACAAATGTTTTGAAGCAATAAAATTTCTGAGTAAGTCTAGAAGAATATGTCTAAAATAGTTTCTAAAAACTTTAACACATGTCAGCGTGTTTCTTCTGTGGCTCATATCTACAATAACTCTTAGCTGAATAATCTTATTATGCTTCAGTGGGAAAAAAAGGATTACTCTTCTTACTAAAGGTATCTTCTCATCATTTCATGCCCTCAGAAAAGTACTATCAGAGCTATAAACAGAAAACAGCAGAAACCTGTTACAGTCTATTGAATCACTGATGGACTTGGTATGAGCTGTTCCTAAAACAGTAGTTGTTACTTTTCCTGAGGTAATACATTATATAGCTGTGTTCCAAAGTCTGTAAGCTACTAAGTTATTTGGCTTAGGAGACCAAAATCTTCAGTGAACAAGACAGTATTTTGTGATACCTTACATTAAGCAGGATAAAAGCAATGTTATTATTTGTATATGTTGCTTTGTCTTAAAGCAAAATGTCTGCCCTTGGTAGAAGATTGGGGCAGAGGATAAACTGGAGCCAGAGAAGTGAGAAAAGGATGAATTAGTTGGTCTCTCACATGAACCTTGCTGCAAATAAATCAGTGTTGCATCCACCGACCACAGAAAACTGGGGGTAGAGGAAGGACAGGAACTGCAGTACAAGGGAAAGTATGGTATTTCCATTCTTTATCATATACAGTGGCTTATGGAGACTATCTAAGATGCAGGTTCTTCACACCCGTCTCTTCATTTGATACAGACTAGCTTAAGAAAAATGGTAATCCATAAGTTCTGGGTACTAAATCACAGAAATGTAAAATCAGCAATATATTGTGAGAGACGTTTAAGCACTAAGACCAGTTAATTACAGCTACAAAATATAATGATAGCTGTAATTTGTGTTAATTCTTTGAACTTGTATATCTGTCTACCTATCTAATGGCTTCATTCAAACACAGTTTAAGATACTGTCTTTCAAAAAGTATGCAAAGTTATTTTGATTCTAAAACCAATATAAAACTTTTATTTATTTAACAATATTCATCATTGGTTTCAGATATCAGACTAAACCCAGCAAGGGAGAAGAGTAAAGAAACATGGTAATACATAAGGATGTGATTCATTTCTAACTTCTACCCTCATAGCTTTGATTGATGAAGTCGACTTCCCAGTTTTATAATAGCAGACAGTAATGTTATTGCTTCTTCCCAAGGAGGTGACAAAACGCAAGATCAATCAAGTGGGAGTGCAGTAAATTTGCAATAAATTTCTACCTAGACAGAAGCAGACACAGTATTCTCTTACATTGTAGAAACCAGGCAAATGCTAACTTCTTCCATGCTGTTGAACTCTTTTACTATTTTGACCCTGTCCTCTGCCTTTGTATTTCCATCGAGTCTTCTGTAATCTAGCCCAGATGCCATACAATATTGTTCCAGAATATCAAGCAACTAATGGAAAAGACAGAGTAAGACCAAGTAATTAAACAATTAAAAAACAACTACCAGGCAAATCAAGTTATTAAAGGACCACTAATAGCTCAATTTTTATCATCATTCCAAACTCACAAGTATCTACTGGCTTAATAGAAATATTTCTAATTTCTACTGTTTGTATTTACTACATTAGTACTAAAATTTAAATTTCCCCACTCTCTACCATATGAAATTAATAAGGTTTTAATTTAATATAGAAACTTCAGATACATTTACATCAGAATTTGTAAAATCCAGGCAATTATGTGTGGAATTTCTGCTTGCAACTTTTGGGACTTATGACATGGCTATTACTGCCTTATCTTGATTGACCTGTCATAAGTCCCAAAAATTGCAAAGCAGGAATTCCACAAAACAAGACCAAAGAGTTTGGGTTAGTTAGAAGTACAATCTTATATATATTATTCAGAAATAAATCCCATGGGATTCAATAGGATTTACTTCCAAGGAAGTCAGTTCAATATAATCTTATATTTATCAGGTGATTCACATATTACACATTTTTCTTATAGAAAAATGTTCAGTGCTGGAAATATATCACATCTACATGCTGATCATCATGTTATGATATACACAAACTGATTTTATTACATGAACAAAGGAATGTAAGAAGAGCCCTGCTGAATCAAAGCCAAAGACTCATAAATCCAGAATCTGTATTGCACAGGTGCCAACAATGCATATTGGGAATTTCAAAAACACAAACAGGAAGATAGTCCACTTTAACACCCTCTGGCAGCTGACATATAAGATATTCTGCCTGTTATTCAGGAGCAGTATGCACTGCAACTAGTAAGCCTTGCTAACTCTATCTTCCACACATCTAAATTGGTGGCCCTCATCACATCTGATGGCGATGCATTCTACATTTTTAATATCTATTCTGTATTTCCTTTCATTGGTCTTGAATCTGAATTATTTTCCATGAATGCTCCTAAATTTTAGCATTCTGAGAGAGGGAGAAAACCTCATATGATCATTTGCCAAACAATAGATTTGTGGTTATCAGATTAGAAATATATGATGTAAAAGGTTTTCTTACATTAAAGTGTTCTCCTGTAAAGAAGTATAGTATTTGAAGATGCCTCACTTACTATTATTCCAAGCATAATCATTTCAAGTGAGAAAGCAATAATGGGTGAAAGATGCTGATATTCCCTGGGTATTATATTAAGATCACATAGCTTACCTTTGTTGAAAAAGAAAAAAGAAGCACTTTATCCTTGTTTTTTCTGAAATGATTTAAAAGTTTCTGAAGGATCTGGAAGTGAACAATGGAAAACAACACTGGCTAAATCTCATCCAAAATGTATTACCATATCTATTTTATATAATACAATTATTTTTAGTTTGGTCTTTAATCAGCATTAAACAAAAATACAGATACAACAGAATCAAAACTATCACATAAAAACAGTTTGTATCTAGAACTTATGAGAACAGGGACTACAGAGCTAAAAGATGGTAAAATAAAAGCCATAAAACTTCTATAAAACTTAAAACTAATGAATAAAATATAGTAAATTGATATACTGTGCTATCTGCAACCTACAAGAAAAAAATGAATTGAAAATTAAGTTGTGGCAACAGAAGCTATACAACCAAATATCTGGAAGTAAGCACCAGCAGTATAATAGTTAGGCATGTGTCAAGCCTCTTTAGCTCTAGCTGGCTGTCAATTCCTGACAATTTTTGTACAATGCTGCCCAGAATTTGGCAATGTTATGAGTCAGAGATTTGTAGGGAGGTCTAAAATTGCTCTAGATACCTGGAAACCTAGTGAATAGTGGGACAATAAGGGTACTTCGGGTGTCTGTCTAAAATGAGCAGCATAGGAAGATGTGGTTGGTAGTTTCAAGTTGCCCAGCATTCCAGCAGCAAAAATATTCAGAGAAGTTCTTCCTGTGTCTTCCATCTATCACAGCAGTGATGATACTGCAGCAAACCAAAGTAAAGACCCTTCTATTGTTAGAGCCCTTTAGCTGTGTAAAGTATGCAACTAATGTTACTCTATACCAGTGTTTTTCAACCTTGACAACTTGAAGATGTGTGGACTTCAACTCCCAGAATTCCCCAGCCAGCCTTG